AAAGTACCACTAACACTGAACAGTGAGATACACTGGGGATAAAAGTACCACTAACACTGAACAGTGAGGTACACTGGGGATAAAAGTACCACTAACACTGAACAGTGAGATACACTGGGGATAAAAGTACCACTAACACTGAACAGTGAGATACACTGGGGATAAAAGTACCACTAACACTGAACAGTGAGGTACACTGGGGATAAAAGTACCACTAACACTGAACAATGAGGTACATTTGGAACAAAAATATGTACCAACAGTGACTGATCACTGAAAAATGAGAATTCATTTGCCCTAAAAAATAAAACAGGAGAAATCTGTATATGTAGTGAATGACGAGTCAGTTCAGGAATGACGAGTCAGTTCAGGAATGACGAGTCAGTTCAGGAATGACGAGTCAGTTCAGGAATGACGAGTCAGTTCAGGAATGACGAGTCAGTTCAGGAATGACGAGTCAGTTCAGGAATGACGAGTCAGCTCAGGAATGACGAGTCAGTTCAGGAATGACGAGTCAGTTCAGGAATGACGAGTCAGTTCAGGAATGACGAGTCAGTTCAGGAATGACGAGTCAGTTCAGGAATGACGAGTCAGTTCAGGAATGACGAGTCAGTTCAGGAATGACGAGTCAGTTCAGGAATGACGAGTCAGCTCAGGAATGACGAGTCAGTTCAGGAATGACGAGTCAGTTCAGGAATGACGAGTCAGTTCAGGAATGACGAGTCAGTTCAGGAATGACGAGTCAGCTCAGGAATGACGAGTCAGTTCAGGAATGACGAGTCAGTTCAGGAATGACGAGTCAGTTCAGGAATGACGAGTCAGTTCAGGAATGACGAGTCAGTTCAGGAATGACGAGTCAGTTCAGGAATGATGAGTCAGCTCAGGAATGACGAGTCAGTTCAGGAATGACGAGTCAGTTCAGGAATGACGAGTCAGTTCAGGAATGACGAGTCAGTTCAGGAATGACGAGTCAGTTCAGGAATGACGAGTCAGCTCAGGAATGACGAGTCAGTTCAGGAATGACGAGTCAGTTCAGGAATGACGAGTCAGTTCAGGAATGACGAGTCAGTTCAGGAATGACGAGTCAGTTCAGGAATGTAAAACTCATTCAGTAGTGGAAGGTTTTTTTGTTTAGATGATGTTTTTCCCTAAAAAAAAAAAAAAGGAGCTTTTGATCCAAGGAACTGGTATTATCCTCCCCTTCCTTGGATCAAACCTGAATCCCTCCCATTTCTCAGATGCCACAACTTTACAGGCTCAGTGTTTTTCCCAGATTAAAATAAAAACATTTTATTTTTTATAAAATAATTATAGATTCCTGAAAGTATTATTTAGGTTCAGGAAACAATGTTTCCACCCTTGCCGGGAATCAAACCCGTTGCCTACCAGGCCACAAGCCATGGTTTAACATGATTCAGTATACAGTGGAACCTCAAAAATCGAACTGCTCCCAACACAACCAATTATGTAAGTGTATTTTTGTAAGTGCTTTTATAAGTGTATTTTTGAGGGTCTGAAATGGACTAATCTAATTTACATTATTCCTGATGGGAATAAATTCATTCGGTAAAGGCACTTGAACAGCCTTCTGGACTGAAGAAAGTTCGATATTTGAGGTTCCACTGTATGTGTAAAATACCTAGGATAAACCAAAAAAAAGGCAGTGACTTATTTCCATTATGGTCCTTGTATTTCCATTGTGGTCCTTGTATTTCCATTGTGGTCCTTGCAATTCCACTGGGGTCCTTGTATTTCCATTCAGGTCCTTGTATTTTAATTGGGGCCTTGTATTTCCATTGGGGCTCTTGAAGCAGTAGAGATATGCAAACTGGGAGATCCTCTCCCCTTTCTATATCATACCTAATTACCTCCCATTTCCCAGGTCCTGTATGAATCCGCCTTCATATTCATTATTGCTCATGAGTATTATTCTATTTACAGGATGCTTACCATGTACTGTGTATTGCTTGTGCCAAAGATCTGGACGTGTGTTGCAAGTGTGGCAAAAAGGAGGAGATTGTTGCTCACAAAAAACCCACAGAAATGGTAAGATCATCACAGCAGTAGAATAGGGTAATCAGGTGTTTTTAGTAATTTTTTAAAAATCAAGACTAAATTGTTTAGGTTTTAAGGAGGGTGCCTCTTGGTTGGTGACAAGTTCTTTGCTAAATACAATGGAACCTCAAAAATCGAACTGCTCCCAACTCAACCAATTATGTAAGTGTATTTTTGTAAGTGCTTTTATAAGTGTATTTTTGAGGGTCTTAAATGGTCTAATCTAATTTACATTATTCCTGATGGGAATAAATTCATTCGGTAGTGGCACTCGAACAGCCTTCTGGACCGAAAAAAGTTCGATATTTGAGGTTCCACTGTACATTAATGCAGAGTTACTGACCAGATGTACTCCTGTAAACCCTTTAAGGCCTAGTTCATAGGCTTTTTGCACTACCGTCCATAGGATGGATATGGGGTACACAATAAACCAACCACTATCATCCACAGGATGGATATGGGGTACGCAATAAACTAACCACTATCATCCACAGGATAGATATGGGGTACACAATAAACTAACCACTATCATCCATGAGATGGATGTAGGATACACAATATACTAACCACTTCATGGCAAAATCTAAATCTGTAATCTGGACAGACGTGTAAACCTTCAACTTACTGAACTAATAGGGGGAAATGGGTGGCTGATAATGGTGATTATTGTGCATAGAGATGAGATTGTTTTGCCATAATTGTAACACTAACAGAGTTCTGCAACCAGTGTATGCTGTCTGTTCTCCCTGAAGCAGTTGGTCCAGCAGATTGTATTCCATATACCTGAAAGTCTTGTGTCAATAAAGATTTTACAAATACTAGACAAGCAAGTCTATCTCTATAAAGTATAGTGCAGTTCACAATTGAAATAGGGTTGATTGGTATGTATGAATTACATTATAGAGTGAGCCTAGTTATGTTGAGTATAATTAAGTTTATTCAGATATAGCTACACATAAATACAGTGGACCCCCGCATAACGATCACCTCCGAATGCGACCAATTATGTAAGTGTATTTATGTAAGTGCGTTTGTACGTGTATGTTTGGGGGTCTGAAATGGACTAATCTACTTCACAATATTTCTTATGGGAACAAATTTGGTCAGTACTGGCACCTGAACATACTTCTGGAGTGAAAAAATATTGTTAACCGGGGGTCCACTGTACAGTTACATACATTACCATACATAGCAGCATATGTGTAAATTTCCTAGGATAACCCCAAAAAAGTCAAAGAGACTTATTTTTATTGGTATCCTTATATATAAGTGTTAGTGTTACACATTTGTAAATATTAAACTAGGTGAATAATCCTCTTCAGCAGAATGAGATCCCAGAAGGGGGCAGAAATATACAGATGAATTAATCTCGCGAGTTTCTGTCTTCACGTGGGTTATTATTGAGCATTATCAGATATAGTAATGTAAGTGACAATTCAGGGTAGACTCACACAGATTTTATCCACAGGAGCAGCTGCAGGCAATGGCACAGCTTGAGGCAGAAGTGAACACTCTCTCAGAACGCAGGCGCCGAGCATATTACAGGTATATTAATATATGGGGTATTGGTAAATTTATTTCTTTGCAGAGGTTACAGTGTGTAATTACATTTTATAATGTGCTGTTAGGTACAATGACAGTGACTAACATGCCGTGGTATTTTGGGCAGACTGATCCTAATACTTAAGACTAGACAGATAAAGAGTGGTAAATTTTAATTATACATTATTATAACACTGAGGTAGCTAATGTTTTACATTACTAAAATTTATAGTTGTGATGTACATGTAAAACACAACAGTATTACAATTTAGCACAATATATGTGCAGTAGTACAATTATAAGTCTCTATTAAGAGACATATGGGCATCTTTGTTCTGGAAATGTTTTACTAGCCAGTAACTTCAGTCCAGTTCAGAGAAAGGTGAAAAATGAGGAGGAGTTTGAGGTAATCCGTCCCTCAGTCTGGAGTCGATGCGTTCAGTCCATCAATCTTGATAGAAGTGCAACATATTCATGGAGATGGGGTTTATATACTGATGGCAGATGAGGTGGATCAATGGTAGGGAGAGATGCCAGTACACAAAACCACTAGTGGATGTAGGTTGTGCCTATAGGTTAGACAAATTTTGAAGAAATCCTTGCATCAAAATCCCAAGTGTTTCACTTATCAACTTGTCAATTTTCTAAATCATTTATTCACATGTGAGCCATTTCCAGAGGCAGGAGAGAAAAAGCATCACATCAATACAGGTGTGGGGGAGATTGGAGCTATAAAACTCAAGTTACTGTACCTTGGTATGGGGTTCTGAGGCTAACTAACACATACATTCTCACACACAAAACATTAATGAATCAATACCTTTACTAACCTGGATTTTGGCTATGGTGGCACCTGTTGTTGTCTGCCATGCAATGCCTAATATGGTTAAAAAAATTATTTTTGAATGTTTATTCTACAGAAGGTGCCATATTGCCATTGAAGGGAATCTTGATACAGGAGGGCCTTGCTGGTACAGCAGGTTCCAGGCTACTGCTGTAAAGGCAGGCCTCACTTATACAGCAGGTTAGGTTCCCAGCTACTGCTGTAAAGACAGGCCTCACTTATACAGCAGGTTAGGTTCCTGGCTACTGCTGTAAAGACAGGCCTCACTTATACAGCAGGTTAGGTTCCTGGCTACTGCTGTAAAGGCAGACCTCACTTACACAGCAGATTAGGTTCCCGGCTACTGCTGTAAAGACAGGCCTCACTTATACAGCAGGTTAGGTTCCTGGCTACTGCTGTAAAGGCAGGCCTCACTTATACAGCAGGTTAGGTTCCTGGCTACTGCTGTAAAGACAGGCCTCACTTATACAGCAGATTAGGTTCCCAGCTACTGCTGTAAAGACAGGCCTCACTTATACAGCAGGTTAGGTTCCTGGCTACTGCTGTAAAGACAGGCCTCACTTATACAGCAGGTTAGGTTCCAGGCTACTGCTGTAAAGGCAGACCTCACTTATGCAGCAGATTAGGTTCCTGGCTACTGCTGTAAAGACAGGCCTCACTTATACAGCAGGTTAGGTTCCTGGCTACTGCTGTAAAGACAGGCCTCACTTATACAGTAGGTTAGGTTCCTGGCTAATGCTGTAAAGGCAGACCTCACTTATGCAGCAGATTAGGTTCCCGGCTACTGCTGTAAAGACAGGCCTCACTTGTACAGCAGGTTAGGTTCCTGGCTACTGCTGTAAAGACAGGCCTCACTTATACAGCAGGTTAGGTTCTCGGCCACTGCTGTAAAGGCAGACCTCACTTACGCAGCAGATTAGGTTCCCGGCTACTGCTGTAAAGACAGGCCTCACTTATACAGCAGGTTAGGTTCCCGGCTACTGCTGTAAAGGCAGACCCCACTTATACAGCAGGTTAGGTTCCCAGCTACTGCTGTAAAGACAGGGCTCACTTATACAGCAGGTTAGGTTCCCAGCTACTGCTGTAAAGACAGGGCTCACTTATACAGCAGGTTAGGTTCCAGGCTACTGCTGTAAAGACAGGCCTCACTTATACAGCAGGTCAAGTTCTGGGCCACTGCTGTTAAGCAAAAATCACTGTAAAGTGCAACAGACTTTTTTTCACTTTGAAATGCATACAGTGCATACACTCATATATGTATTAAATGACTAATAGATCTAGGCCTAAAAAATGCATATACAGTGGATCCCCGCTTTATGATCACCTCCCAATGCGACCAATTATGTAAGTGTATTTATGTAAGTGCGTTTGTACGTGTATGTTTGGGGGTCTGAAATGGACTAATCTAATTCACAATATTCTTTATGGGAACAAATTCATTCAGTACTGGCACCTGAACATACTTCTGGAATTAAATAATATCGTTAACCGGGGGTCCACTGTACTGTACACACATTACTTACCTTAAAATATTTTCATCCTTAGCTTATAGTGAGTGGTGAATATATTTATTGTAGGAAGTCTGAATAAATGAAGAATGGGTATATAATTGAAAACCACTGCATTAGCAAAGTGCCATAAAGCAAAACACTGTAACGTGGGACCTGCTGGTACATATAATTAAAGGTATGTTTTTCTTAGATGAGGTCCAATTGTCTCCCATTCCTCAGGCACTGTATGACCCTTAAGGGTTTAGTGCTTCACTATATGATAATGAATATCAGATTAATATTATGACAAAGCAACAAGAATTTTACTCTCTAATAAAGTTCATACACTTTGTTATATACAGCCCCCCCCCCCCATCCATGGATTCGGTTTCTGCAGTTTCAATTATCCGCAGTTTAACGTGGCCTGAAAATAACCCTTAATTTTGCATGAAAGTCGTGACGATGGCAGGTCTTCCAAGCCAAAGAGAAGTCATGAAGTGCTTCCCATTAGAAAAAAATGCTAATTCTCGACTTATTGTGCATAATTTATCAATTAACCCGTAAATGGTCCAAACGTATATATACGTTTTTTCAACATTTGAAAGTATGTAAAAAAGTAGATTCTTTTTTTTTTGTACATTTGAAAACGTGTAAAAAAGCTTTGATCTACTTTTTTTTTGTTATACAGTGGACCCTCGACCAACGATATTAATCCGTTCCTGAGAGCTCATCGTTAGTCGAAATTATTGTTAGTCGAGTTAATTTTCCCCATAAGAAATAATGGAAATCAAATTAATCTGTGCAAGACACCCCAGAGTATTGAAAAAAAAAATTTACCACATGAAATATTAATTTTAATACACACAAACTGAAGAAGATATGCACAATTACATGACACTTATCTTTATTGAAGATCTGGTGATGATTGATGGGATGGGAGGAGGGGAGAGTATGGATGGTGTTAGTGTTTAGAAGGGAAATCCCCTTCCATTAGGACTTGATGTGTCAAGTCCTTTTCCGGGGTTACTTCCCTTCTTCTTTTAATGCCACTAGGACCAGCTTGAGAGTCACTGGACCTCTGTCGCACAACATATCTGTCCATAGAGGCCTGTACCTCCTGTTCCTTTATGATTTGTCTCAAGTGGTTCACAACATTATCATTGTAATAGTCACCAGCACGGCTTGCAATAGCTGTGTCAGGGTGATTTTCATCCATAAAGGTTTGCACTTCAACCCACATTGCACACATTTCCTTAATCTCTTTCTTCATATCCATAGTAATTCTCACCCTTTTTGCTGTAGGGTTGGCACTAGAAGCTTTCTTGGGGCCCATGGTGTCTTATTTTGCAGGTGCAATCACTAAAAATGCTGTGATAATATGAAATGTTTCGATTGTATGTTTGGATGGGACCGCGGTGGCTGGCTGGCTTGTAAACACTGGCACCCACGGGACAAGTGAGGCGCGATCAGGCAAAAAGTGGACGCGTCTCAAACGGAACGAATCGTGTTGGTCGAGTTTTTTAGTGCTAGTCGAGGCAAAATTTTTATGTTAAAATGTATCGCTAGTCGGATTTAACGTTAAATGATGCCATCGTTGGTCGAGGGTCCACTGTATTTGAAAATATGTAAAAAAAACATAGATCTACTTTTGGAGCACTACGCATGTGAACGTAGATCTGCTTGGACCGTTTGCGAGTTAAACTATCATAGGTATGAAAACGAAAAGCTACTTATATATAGAGTTAGCAACACTCTGGAGTTTCAGGTATCCATCGTAGGTCTTGGGACGTATCCCCCGCAGATATAAGAATAATAATAATATAATATCTTTATTTCTACAAGTACATATGCAAGGTATACAGACCATAGCTGACATCAGTGACATACTACTATATAAAAAACCACTTGTTATTCAGAGCATTTTCCGCAAATTTGGTCAGTTTTGTCCCAGGATGCGACCCACGCCAGTCCACAAACACCCAGGTACCTATTTTTACTGATGGGTGAACCTGGACAACCAGTGCAAGGAAACACGCCCAATGTTTCCACCCTTTGCCGGGAATCGAACTCGGACCCTCGCCATGTGAAGGGAGAGCTTTCACCACCAGGCCACGGGCCACCGTAGGGGGACTACTGTACTGTAGATACAGGTCACAGCACCAAGGTAAACTGCGGTCCCATAATCTCTTATGGTGCATCTCTACATTTATTTCTTTGACTTTTCAGATATGTTGATAAACTTAAAGGTAAAAAGAAGAAGAAGGTGAAGAAAGAAACAACAGATGATACAGGAAGTGAAACAGTTGAGAACAAAGAAGAAAATGCAGAGTCGACACCCCTCTCCTTAGATGAATTCATGAGAAACGCTCAACACAAACTTGATGAATTAAAGAAGGGAATGGCTGATGGAGATGACTTGTTTGATGAATTAGAAAACTTGAGTATTGGCAGTGATGATGATAGTGATGATGAATAGGGATGATGATATTGAGGATTTTGTTTAATAAATTAAAAGATTTATGTATTGGTAGTGATAATGATAGGATTAAGCAAATAAGTTACGTTTTTACAGTAAATTATCAATAATAGCACCTTTCTTACACAAGAAAGTAATGTTTTTTGTAAATGTAATAATAATTGAATACTTATCAAATGTGTAGTGAGTGCACACTACAGCAATGTTATCAAATAAAGACGAAAATAATACCTTCTCTGTGGACAATTTACAGCATTTTTCCAACAGATATGTGTAGTTTTTTTGCATTTTTTTTAACTCAGAGGTTGTCTCCTGCCAGTATATGGTGACCCAGAGTGGAAAACATCCACCATCATTCGTTCAGTTGTCATCTTTTCAGGAGTGTGCTGATGTAATGGTTAGATTACCCCTCTGAATGCAACAACCCTGCCCTTCCTTCAGATTGCAGGCGCACTCCTTTCCACCTCCATGACTCAAGTCCAACTAATTGGTCTCTCTGAAGTCCTTCATAAAAGTTACCTTGCTCACACTCCAACAGCAAGTTCATTAAGAACCACTTATCTCCATTCACTCCTCCCCTCAAAGGAGGTTCCTTGATGCTGATGAGAGGCTCTTGTTCTAGGGAATTGGATATGTGCTCCAGTTCCCTGAATTGAGACTATATGCCTTCAATCCCCGCCCCCACAGGTGCTGTATAATCCCTACAGGTTTAGTGGTCCCTCATGATTGTAATAATCCATTGACTCCTAACATGCTCACACAGGCCTGCTGGATTCTCAATCCCTTAAGGCTTAAAACCTCTTTTACCCCCTCCCATCCAGTCATTCCTGGGTTGATCCCTGTCAACCTCAATCCATATCTACCTGCCAAACCACCTTGACAACCCCTCAACCCTCCATATATCTGAATTTAAATTTATTTTCAATATTAAGCCCTTAGGTGAAGCTTCAGGAGTAGAATAGGCTCTCAAAATCTTTTACAGGCCTATTGCTTTTGATCTAAGGAATTGGAGCCTCCCTTCCCCTTGGATCAAACAGATTACCTCCTATTTCCCAGGGGCTCTATAAGCTCTAGGGGTTGAATGCTTCCCCATGATAAGTAACAACAGTAGTAATAGTAATAATAATTGTAGTAATAATGTTTGTGACGTCTGTTCACTTCTGGCAAGACAGCTATTGACTGAATGATAGTAAATGATTTCTCTTTGTTTAGGTCATTCAATCTTGGCAAGAGACAGCCTGTGTAAGAATAATAATAATAATAATATTCCATGGGGAAGTGGAACAGAATTCTTCCTCCGTAAGCCTTGCGTGTCATAAAAGGCGACTAAAATGCCGGGAGTAAGGGACCAGTAACTCCTTCTCCTGTATATATTACTAAATTTAAAAAGATAATTTTTTTTTTTTGGGGGGGGGGGCCACCCTGCCTCGGTGGGATATGGCCGGTGTGTTGAAAGAAGAAGAATTAATAATATAGTAATTATTATTGTTCTATAAGAGAGGAAATCAGTATAGGTGAGAACATTATTATATATTGTATATTGTTTGGTGGTGGAGAATTTATTAATTACTAACCTTCAAAGTGGTGCCTCAATGCTCCTGAAGGGCTCTTGATTTAACCCGTAAACGGTCCAAACGTATATATACGTTTTTACAACATTTGAAAGTATGTAAACTAAGTTTTTGAATCTTTTTTTTTTTACATTTGAAAAGTTGTAAAAAAACTTTGATCTACTTTTTTTTTTGTTACATTTGAAAATTGTAAAAAAACTTTGATCTACTTTTTGTAGCACTCACTTGAAGTATCATCTTGGAACCGTTTAGGTTAAAAATGAGCTGTTATCTACTTGAATAGCACTACCATTGACACGTCATGAGCTGCTTGGACGTATTAGCGGTCATAAGGAATTGACCCTTTTTTTTGTAAAATGAACTCTCCATGTCCATTAAAATCATGATCATTAAATCTAATACATAATATTTTTTATCGAGAGTATTAACGAATGTAGTTAGATTTTTTTTTCCAGTGAACTCTACTAGTGCAGGTGACCATGTGTGAAAAAAATCCATTGATCTAAATAAATTTCGATATTTATTATAATGAATGTCTGTTATCAAACGAATGTTGTTGTCAAAGAATTTCTTTTCCATGAACAGTAATTGTGCAGGTTACATTCATAAAAGAAATTGTCCTGTATCTAAAGAATTGTCTCTTATCATAACAGAATTGTTTGTTATCATAAAGAATTGTCTGTTATCATAAAAATTGTCTATTATCATAATAGAATTGTCTATTATCATAATAGAATTTCTATTATCATAACTAGAATTGTATTATCATAACAGAATTGTTTGTTATCATAATAGAATTGTCTGTTATATAATAAATTGTCTATTATCATAATAGAATGCTCTATGCATGACTAGATTGCTTTATCTCAGGAGATACTAGGTTCATAATAGACATTTATTATTACATAATAAATCAGTAAATAAGAATAGTCTGTCATAAAGAATCTGGTCTGGCTAGCTGACAGTGGCTCACTGTGCCAGACCGGTGCTAGGGAGGTCCAGACTACTGCTGGGAGGCCTCAGACATGTTTATATATGTCAGACAAACAATCAGAAAATGCAATGAAGCGATTGCTGAACAGCAATATTGAGTTAACTGCACCCTCAGCATTGTACAGTGCACACGTGTCTAACCGTGCTAGGGTTCCAGCACTTACATTGCTGGGACCTATAAATATTTTGCATATATTTCTAGACAATACTGACTCAAGAAATTGTAATGACGCGATTGCTAACATGTCAGTCTGGAGTTTTATGACTCACTGCGAGCTCATCCCTGCACGTACCGTGGTTTTTTTTTCTAGACGATAGTGTGTGACCAAGGCAGGTGAACATGCTCACAACCAACAATTATTATCACAGCATTGTATGACCCTTGTGGGTTTAGTGCTTAGTTTTGATGATAATATTGTAATTGCTAACATTTCTTCAGTCAAATACAGGTGAAAATAACATTGAAAACAGTAGAAGGAATGATGAGGTAATCAGTCCCTCATCTTAAATCACAGGCATGTGACCAGACCTCTTATATTAAAGTATACATGCCTCCACTGAAGGCTGAGAGACTGATCACCTCATACAGGGCTGATTTATAAAGGGGGCAACTTCCCCGGGCCCCTCCTGCCAGATGGGCCCCCAGACGAAGGACTTCCTTTATATCAAAATGTAATAGTAAGAAATTTAGTTTAATTAATAAAAGGAATTAACAAATAAAGTGTGTGTGGGGGCATCAGAAAATAGAAAGAAAAAGTGCTCCCACCCCATCTCCAAATTTAATAACTTGACTATTTCTGGTTAGTGTCAGTTAGTGTCACCTCTGACCATGAGGTCAGAGGTGACCAGGGTGTGCACGCTTGTGTGTGTGTGTCTCTCTGTGTGCAAGGTAGCTATGTATTGTGTGTATAGTTTTGATTGGCTATGTTGACCTCAGAAGGGCTATTTCTGGTTAATGTCTTTATTTACTACAAGTGCATGTACAAGGTATACAGACCTAGCTGACATCAGTGACATATTACTATACAGAAAGCCCCTTGTATTGCAGAGCATTTCGGGCAAGTTAGGTCAGTTTTGTCCCAGGATGCAGCCCACACCAACCGACTAACACCCAGGTACCCATCATACTGATGGGTGAACATGGACAACCGGTGTAAGGAAACACGTCCGATGTTTCCACCCCTTCACTGGGAATCAAACCCAGACCCTCACCATGTGAAGCGAAAGCTTTTGCCACCAGGCCATGAAAAATTCAGCTGTCAGGAGCTCAGAAAAATAAAGATTTCCAAAGAATCAAGCGAAAGAAATACAGTGGACCCCCGCATAACGATTACCTCCGAATGCGACCAATTATGTAAGTGTATTTATGTAAGTGCGTTTGTACGTGTATGTTTGGGGGTCTGAAATGGACTAATCTACTTCACAATATTTCTTATGGGAACAAATTCGGTCAGTACTGGCACCTGAACATACTTCTGGAGTGAAAAAATATCGTTAACCGGGGGTCCACTGTACTGTGATCTTGGCAAAGACAAAATGCCTTACAGAATTTTTCTCTGCTTCTGTAGTGGAAAACATAGAAACTACTAATGAAGAACCAGTACCATACCAGATGATGTTTCTTCTGAGGACCTACTTGCATTCCCAAGTACATCTGCAGAAAATAAAAAGAACATATCAAATCAAGATAGTAAAGGTGATAAATCCCCCACAACAACATTCTACAGATACTTGTGTAGACCAGGACATTTTATTATTATTATAATCAAAGGAGAAGCGCTAAACCCGGAGGATTATACAGCGCCTGGGGGGGGGATGTGGAAGGCATTCAGGCTTAATTCTGGGAACTGGAGCACAGATCCAATTCCCAAAAATCAAGAGCCCGTCACCAACAATCAAGGAACCTTCCTTGAGGGGAGACAAGGACAGTGAAGCCCCACCATGTGATTCAGACCCAGCCCTATTGTTTCCTTTTCAGAGAAACCATACCTACCCCGGCCGGTTGAACCCGGGTCATAGAGCCCAAAACTCCAGCCCGTTCGTTAGCCACTATGAGGACTCTATGACGCGGGTTTGCAATCGTGTCAATTACGATTTCGTGAGTCACAGAAACCATGTATCCTTTTGGTCAACTACCCCCATATAGATGGAACCGAGTGTGACACCAAAGATATAATAAATACAAAATCGGTAATTATTACATAGTGTAGATGGAATGTATATTACACACTGAAAATTATAGTCAGTTATTTTTAAAAAGTCAATAAAATTGAGAAAAAAAAAAATCAGATGTCTTCTTCGAAACCTAACATATTTTTTTTTCAAAAACTGTTGTTTATCATTTATTTTAGTTCATTTTTTATTTGTAATTCAATTTTAATTTCCGTGTTTTAGGCCCCCCCAAACCTAAAGTGCCCCGGCCTCCCCCCAAGGGGCCAGGGGGGTGGTATGATCATAAACCAAGGAATGTGATCTATACCACCTGGGAGTGAACTTATCCTCCCAGGTGGTCCATGACCCCCCACGGGTTGAGCGCTCCACCATGAGTAGTACTGACAGTGATGCCATCTAGTGGTGGGGTAATAGTGCCCTCTAGTGGTGGTGTAGTAATGCCGTCTAGTGGTGTGTAGTAGTGCCATCTAGTGGTGGTGTAGTAATGCCATCAGTGGTGGTGTAGTAATGCCGTCTAGTGGTGGTGTAGTAGTGCCTCTAGTGGTGGTGTAGTAATGCCTTGTGGGGGGAAAAGTTCAATAGAGAGGGTATAGAAGGAATATATATAGTATCAGTAGTTTCACTGCCAGCTTCTGTTAAGGTAGGGTAAGTCAATCTCCCGTTTTTTCCCGCCTTTTCTCCCCCTCCCTGAAATTGATAGTTTGTCTGCCGCTACTTGTTAAGGTAGGGTCAGTCTAGCTCCCGCTATCCCTTCCCCTCCCCCTTCTCCCCCCCCCGAAAGGTGACGTGTGGGGCTCTGGTTAAACAGTAAATCACTAGACTCACAGCTCCCAACTCTACTGTAAGTACATGCCTGCCTTGTATTCTAGTGGATTTATTGGTTGAAAGCTTCACTTTTGACCAATAATAAAAATTAGTCCTTTCAGTCTTGCTCTAGGTTGACTGTTGTAATAATCACCCCCGTCTTTTGAAAATTGTACACTACCATGAAGAGTGATTATTTAAGCAAATGGGTAACCTGTCTATCTTTCCAGCTTTGGGTGTCAGAGAGGGTCACCTGGCAATCAACGAGTAGAACAGGAAAGGACAACGTCCAGAGACTTCTCCAGGTTGTATTGAAGTACCTGTGCACCTGTATGAAATGCAGGACGTAACTCCACAGCATTGCAGCCGTAAAGAACCTGCTTTCCTGTCATCGGGATAGAATACTCACTGGTATACTGTGAAGAAACTAGCCAGTGGTGGCCACCAACACCTGCGAAACCCCCCCCCCTTTTCATCAGCAACGGCTATGGTTTCAACAACAGTGTCAACCCCAAAACCAGACACCATTGTAGATATTAGTGTTGAGTTCAAATGTTAAATTTTATTCATTTAATTTTTCATTTTTTTTTTCAAATAGGATATACCTTTCATGTTTTGTTGTTTATGTTTGATTTAATATAATAGTGTTTATCTTTGTGAATTATTATTTCTTTTTCTATTCATTTAAATTTCCTGAGGAGGAGCCAGCCTGAGTAATACTGTCTGAAGTTGTTATAGGGCTGAGTAAGCTTCACAGCCGTTAGTGGTGGTGTAGTAATGCCGCTAGTGGTGGTGTAGTGTGCCATCTAGTGGTGGTGTAGTAATGCCGTTAAATGGTGGTGTAGTAGTGCCATCTAGTGGTGGTTTTAGTAGTGCCATCTAGTGGTGGTGTAGTAGTGCCATCTAGTGGTGGTGTAGTAGTGCCATCTAGTGGTGGGTGTAGTAGTCCATCTAGTGGTGGTGTAGTAATGCCATCTAGTGGTGGTGTAGTAGTGCCATCTAGTGGGGTGTAGTAGTGCCATCTAGTGGTGGTAGTCAGAGTTAGTCAGGTTATCAGTGATGGTGTTATAGTGAAGGCCAGGACAGTGACCAACCTCAAGGTCACTAAAGGTCAGTTGAA